TAACACATCTTACACAGAGAACACAGTATCTGCACAGTTTAGTGCAGAATGACTGTTTATTTACTGAATTTAACATCTTAGGAAAGAAATAAAAAACATTAAATGGGCCTGTGCAAAGGTTATAGCACATTTTATATTTTATTTTTTTCCACAATGTTAAATTCAGCAAGTAAATAGAAACTAAACTAAAATTTGCAGAAAAAATGCAAAATAAATATTTAAGTTTGTTCCCTCCAGAATGTGTATTAACTTATTTTCACATGTATCATCAACATATAAATTGATGGGGGTGTTCAAACATTTGCGTATGTCAGTCGTAAAGGTACAGTAATAAAAACAGCCTGTTTAATTCTAAGGGTTAAAGAGAGTTGGGAAAATGGTCATATAATTATGTGTTATGCCTCTTTTTGGTACCTACAACCACACAAACATTATAAGTGGTCCTCAGGGGAAACAATGCGAAAAATGTAGGATATGGGTCATTTAAAGGAATACTCCAGCAATATTTAACCTAAAAAGCTTAAAGGAATATTCAGTGTTTTCTGACCTAGTGTCAATCGGCTACATCTTGCATATGGTTGATTATCATAGATGATAATTTTCACACTTTCCTCCATACTTAGTAAAAGAACAGAAAAACTGTTCACTCATATCAGAGGACACTGGGCAGTTGCTTTATACTGGAGTATAAGCGCCAATTCCGCTCCCTTATGAGCCACCTCCTCTATAGCGTTACTCTTGGCCTAGTTTCATTTTTTTCACACACCATATCTGCAGACTAATTTTGAAAGACAGCCATTAAACCTCTCCCCCTCCGACTGTATCAACAAGCCTGCAATCACAGCACACAGTGGTTATCGTCGTCATGGCAGCCCACGTTCATTAGTGGCGATTGGCTAGCGCCTGCGGTCCCCTCGCTCCCTGCCTGGATTATTTAGCCCATCATTAAAAGGTGTTGTTTATATGAAAACAAGGTTTAGTGTGCTTCTGTATGTGTCCGAGTATACATGTGACAGTGCATGTGTGTTGATGTGATTAGGAAGAAGAATGTGTGCAAATTTAATGGTTGTGGTTTTATGTTTTCTGGTGGGGTTGAGACAGTGAGGGGAAACCTGTGGCTTGAATGTTAACAATGCAGTCATGAGTTGCTCATGTGTAAAACTTAATTTGCAGCTTCCACAGGAATTAACATTTAAAATCTTTTGCCTTGAATTGATGCTTGTAATTTATTTAGTAGACAAATACTACGTAATGTGCAATATTACAAACCGTCATATCGTTTTTTTGTTTTAACAGCAGCTACCCTGTATATCGTGTAGGCATTTCATGACAAATGGACCAACAGAAATGTTCTAAAATGACTTGCAATTGAATTTCCTTTTACACAAACATCCTTTGAAGTTATTCCAGATATTCCGAAAGTAATTCACCTAAAAAGTTACCATTTTGAGGATACACTGTTTTATGATAGTAGTGAGGATAAATTAGCAATAGAGGTTCGATGTTCAGATTTGATATGATTTGAACTTTGAACTGTGTTGATTTTGATATTTTATGTGTTAAAAATGTCACAGGCATGTAATAAAACTAATACGATACAAATTATATTAATTATATAAACTAAATTTAATATAAATTGTATTTTAAAATAAAAGTTAGCAAAGTAGCTTATCCTTATGCAAAACAGTGATCTGACAAAACACTACAACTGAGCTATAAACAATATAAACATTGATAGGATGTATCCAGATGCCTGGTTTTGATCATTGACAGTGTATTCCATGAAAGACAGCGAATGAGAGAAGAGTCAGAGGGGCATATCAGTGATACAGTTTTAAATTTCAATACACTGTTTTGAACGTCTTTTTTATACTGTGTTTAAGTCGTTACACAGTTAATAACCAGTTTACTGTACTAAGTCCATCGGCCTTACTCTGATTACTGCTGTGATATACTGTGTTAACAGTAGCTTCTCCTCTCCTCTCTCTCTTTTCCTCTACCTCTGTTTCATCTTACACTTACCACCAACTGCAGACTTTATACATTCCTCACATATTTCTCTTTCCAATAGCCTAAAGACCCTATAACAAGACTTGGTACCATGGTGAAATGAAGTGAAGAAACCACTGAATCACCTCTGTATTACTCTACTGCCATCATAACCAATCCACTCTGCTTCCATACACTCATACATAATCATATCAATATGAGGCTCCCCATATAACCCCATACTCAGACTGCTGTAATTCTCTCCATACTGTAACACCATCACAGCGCTTCTGTCATCTTGGTGGCTTTCAGAACCGTTCTCCTCCACACCGCTAAACTCACCCGATGTATGTGTGTGTGTGTGTGTGTGTGTGGAATGATTCAACTGAACAAGGACACTGCCTAAGGCATTCTCTCTGTTTCTCTCTCTCTCTCTCTCTCTCTCTCTCACTGCTGCACACACACACCACACATGTACACACATGCACACACAGATTTACTCCAACATCCGTCCCTTTCAGGAATGCCACAGGAAATAGAATCAAATAATGGTGACCAGAGAGAATCGCGATTTGCCACATCACATTTGCCAGCTGAGGGAATCGGCTACCCCCTCATTCCCCATCTCCCTCCCTCTGTCTCTCTCTCTCTCGCTCTGTCTCTCTCTCTCACTCTCTCTCTCTCTCTCTCTCTCTCTCTCTCTCTCTCTCTCACTCTTTCTCTCTCTCTTTCTCTCACTCTTTCTACTAATGCAAACGAAGCTTGATGGGCAGTAAACCAAAAATGCCACCATATGGATGTGAATATTGATCATCCTTTTTGAACTTTTAAACTCTGTTTTGCATATCTATCCGTACAGCATATGATGTGAGTCACAGACATTGCCTTGCAAATCCCAAGCCAGAATCTAATCGAGGCTTTAAGAAAGGTATAGTGATAAACAATGAACTGTCCGGTCAAATTCTGGAAGCCCCAATGTCACTCTTAAAGATGCCAGGAAGTATTTTTGGAACAATGCTACATAAGACCTTTTCAATCGTGAGTTCCTGAAATAATTTTTGTAAATGAGATATGTGAGTGTGAAGAAGCGTTTTAGAATTTACACATTGTGAAGAAGGGGTCTTCAGTTCCTGTCCTGGGGGCTGGTGTTCAGCACAGTTTGGCAATTTCTCTGCTTAAGCACACCTGGTTTAACTCATCTGTTCAGTGCCAGCTTTAGTAGGTGTGTTTCAGCAGAGAAATCGGTGCCAAACTTTGCTAGATGCCAGCCCTCCAGGACCACAATAGTAGACGCTATAAATAATTCTATAATTCTACACCAATTAGTGGATTTTGCTAGAACTGTATATTTAAGCTAAGAAACATTTAGGAACCTTTCATTTAAATAGTAGTCAAAGAACTGGGATCCATGAGTGATCTGGTAATGCACCTGGATGTATTCTAGTGCAGCAACTATTTAATATTTTTATTTTTCAAATATTCTATCAAATATTATCTCAAATATTCAAATATTCTATAAGAACAAGAAAAGCTCAAGACGTTACACTTTAATTTCTGAATGGATACAGGTTTTTCCATTATTATTATTATTAGTAGAAGTAGTAGTAGTAGTATGTAATTAATTATCTACATTATTTTGCATACATTATGTTTGTTTTGTATTTTAATAAAATTTTGTTCAAAAACTACAAGGTAATGAAAAAACATCACTAATTTTTTCCATAGCGTATGACATTAAAATGCTAAACCATATCTAGCAACTCTGATCAGGTTTCTGGCTCTTTGTGAACAGCAGTGAACGGCGCAAGAGAGCGGAGGAAACAGCATCTTTTTAACGAAAATCTTTTTAACCATCAACTTTATGGTCAACTCTTGTGAATAAATGAGGGAGTGATGAGCATGTTCATTTATTCTTGCTTAAAAACAAGCTAGCTAGCAATCCAGAGCAGTAGAAAACTTTTTTTGACTGCACCAGTAGTTAAAACTCATTGTTTCCTCAAACTGTGAGAGTCTAACCAGCTGAGACCAATGAGTCAAGTGCTTGCAACTGCTGCTTCTGGTGACAAGCTAGCATTTAGCTTGATAAACAAATGTTTTCCCATGAAAGTGCGTGGGTTTGTAAACGCAGTAAATGTGTCATTTATTCAAATGACATCTATTTTTTTTTATATTTTAATTACTGAATTTACAAAATAGTGTCAAACATTTATTGCAGCCCTAAAGCATTCAGGAATAATGTAGCACTGTCACATTAACTGGAAATACTTATTTAAGAATTAAAATGTTGGATAAAAGAGAAAAAGCAGAAGATATTGAACCTGGACCTCAGTTATTGGTCCTTGGAGCTAAACTAAGCTCATTCAGAAAGATTTCCAGCTGGCTTCTGCAGCAGAGGCCGCAACTGAGTACGTCTAAGGATAGTGAAGATACAATGATTTTTGAGAAATGCTATTAAATAGGCCATGAATTGTTTACATAAGTTTGAGAGAGGCTGGAGGAAAAGCTTTCTAACCCAGGACAAGCCCCAAGCCTGTGTTGCTTTCGTCCAATCTCTGGCATCTGCTTCAGCCGCTGGCCACCGTCTCTCCTAGCCCTTCTGGATTTGTTTAACAAACACCCTCGATAGATATCTCTCCCTTTCTCTCTCTTTGCTCGCCCAATGCAAACAATTTGCATTGTAAATGATCCTCCATAAGCGCTGGAAGTAGAGGAGGGACCTGAGGACGAAACAAAAGGAGAGCTGCGTCCCGTGCTTATCTGCGGCGATATCCAGCAGTAGTCCCTAAGCAAGCTTTATCATTTCGCGCCAGATTGAGGGAGGGAGGGAGGGACAGAGGGAATGAGACGGAGTATAAAAGAGACAGAAAGACTTAGTCATACCATTCCTCTAAGTAATGCGGTTGAAGTGGACACTGCACAGCTCAGTAATATTATTTCCAGGAGATCAAGAAAGCCCCGGCGGCTCTGCTGGGACAGGAAGAGTGCATGCACATAGCAAAAATATGTGTTACCTGGAACTCAATGCCATAATTCTCTCTACAGAAGTCTCTCAGTTTGGGGTAGACATGTTCTTTCAGAGCATTTCTCTCTGCTTCCGTATCTGCAACAGAAAACACAAAAACACAGAAACAAAGACTCTCTTTTAGTTCAGCAAAACAGTGGTGTTTTCTAAGGTGACATTTTTCTACCTCATGTAGCCTGCGTTTGATCATTTCTTGTCCATGTGACAAACTCTAGTCAAAACCTGTTGGTTTACTCTCCTATGATCTCTATCATCCACTCTTTTATCGTTTGTCAAGCGTGTGTTTACATATCTACATCATCAAGGGTAAGGCATCAGCCTTCGGCTCAGATACAGTCAGGCCACTGACTCATAAGAGTCATGAGGAAGGCATAAGGCACAACACGTTTGAGTTTGCGGGAACAGTATGCAGGCCACCTAGTCAAACGCATATTAAAGTACACTGCCTGTTGCGTACATTACGTATGTAATAGGCAGTACAATATGTCATTTTTAATAATAAATGCTGTCAGTGATAAGCAACATATGTATACATAACCAAAGTTGGATAAACATGTTGATAGGTCACCACTGTTTCCCGTCAGCATGCTGTGTAAGGATTACATCAGAGCCATTCAGCAAACATCACATTCAGAATCAGCTCTAGATCTTTTGTTTGTTCTCTTGTGTATGAAGTAACAATTCAACATCACATAGCTGGCCAAGAAAAACTAAACAGCCAACTGTCCAGTTACTTATGGTGCTCTGAAATGGAGCATTTTGTATAAAATTGCTTGTTGTTCTTATATGGTTCATCTAATATAAATGTAAATACTCTCAAATTACAGTAGACAGTCTGCACTTTAACCTCACAGGAACTCATTCCAGAGCCAAAACAACCAGAACTGACTCATTACACAATTACTAATAGACTGTGCTGTGCTGTTACAACTAAGCTGTTAGTTCAGGCCATGAAGGTAAAAAAAGAGAGAAAAGAAGAAGAAGAACAACAACAACAACAAGACCACTCTATGTTAATGCTTATTTCTGTCAGCACCTCTATGGGATTTTTAGTTGTATGTTAGTGCCATACTAACGCTGGTGCACATGAACATTTTTGGCCATTCCAGATTAAACATAGAAATCTGAAGCTTGTGAAAGAGAAGCCATGTTATATTTGAACCTTCTCAAAATAGAAACATATATTTAACCTTGTATGTAGCATTTTTATGCATATTCACATCCAGTGTACAACACGTATCTACAACTTCCAGAAGGCCTAGTGTGACATTTTCTGGTCCTGCTCCATGTAAAACAGAATGTGATTGGTTGAATCCCCCCCCCCACTGTCACTTCCTAATGCTTAGTTAATGTAGCATGTAAGGCTTCTTTTCAGCTTCTGAAAGAAAGATACCATAGAAGAAAAAAATTCTGATTGAAAGTTTCAAGCTTTTAACCTTTTAGTTTCCAACCAAAATGTAACAATGAAAAAAGAATATTACGACAATATTTATCATAATATAATCACAGTGTCTTTGTTATACTCATAACAAAAATTGGTAATCTAAAATTTGAAACAAAAAGTATGCATCTCAAAAAAGAAAAAAAAAAACAGGTTCAGTGAAAATCAGCACAACATTGCTCCTAATATCAATATTTAAATCTCACTACTGACCACAATCTGACCTTTCAGTAGTAAAATATGTCTAAACAGAGTTTTAAATTTTCTTCTTCTTTCTTTCTTTCTTCTTCTTCTGCTTGTTATTTCCCTGTTGTGTTGTTTTTAGCTCCCTTCTATACTATAGACTCAGTTCATTATTTCTGTCTCCTATACATTCTATATTTGTTCTCTGTGAGTCTGTTCAATGAAGAGTGGTGGAAACCTCTATCGACTCATTCCTTCCAACTGATCCCTGTCTGTTTGAACCTTTTGTCCTGATAACTCCTCTCTCTCCCTCTGTCTCTCTGTCTCTCTCTGTCTCTCTCTCTCTCTCTCTCTCTCTCTCATAATCTATCCTCACCTGGCCCACGTTCATTGCACACAGTTGCACTAAATACATCATCAGGGATATTCAGCATGTTATTGCATCATTAAAGCAGCTGAGAGATCTGTAGGAGCTGCTCATATATTATTCAGCTTCAGTCACCTAGCGACTATTATAGCACCCACTCGCAATTGATTTATGCCTCAAAATGCATACAAAAGAATAAAAATGTCATAAATAATGACCATGTTAACCTACCAGGAAGAAATAGCCAACCTAGAATGATATGTAGGCAAGGCTGCAGTTTTGAAAACTAATATTGGTATAATATTGGTTTTAATATCAAGTCATTTACTTGTTCCTTTCTTTCTTTATCTGATACCAGCCAAGAACTGAACGTCATGGGCAAGATCATCTCCACAATGGCAAAAAAGGATCACCAAGGCAATCGGAATATAGAGCTGGGTGATATAGCATAAATATAACATCCTGATACATAACACATATCACAGTATTTCTGAGGTCTGATGAGGCTGTTCTTTTTACATTTATTTATGTAAAGCACTTGAAATTGACTTGGTGTGTAAAATGTGATATATAAATAAACTTCTTTTGCCTTCTCTTGCCGTGCCTTGATAACTTGGAAGAGACAAAAAGAACCAGTGGTGCCACATTAGAAAAAATGCTATTAAAACTACAGTACAGTGATTTTAATCAATGTTTTACATCCTGCACTGCACTCCTATTAATAAAACATACAGTTTATCAGTGTTCTTTAAGCACTAATGATATCCAAGACATGCTCAGAAAAGCATATTTTAATGTAATTTATCACAATAGTGATAAAATATTCTCATATTGCCCACCCTTATCAAAATGTTCACTTTATCTGCTGCTGTTGGACTAATGTCTAGAGATCTTGGCTAGCCTTTTTAAAGCTGCACTATGTATGATTTGGAGATTTGGAGACCTCTCTGGTGCAAATGTAACTGCATGCAACATGTGGAAAAATATTTTGTAACATGGGATGTGCTTTGGATCCCAACAAGCAGATGAATCTGATGTTTGTGAATGTGTTGAAAGAGTATTGAAAGAGAGCTCTAGTCAAAATAAATACACAAATAACTGCAGAGGCAAATAAAAAGCAGGTTACACAATGTGTTTTCAAGTGTGTGGTGAAGTATATCTGAAGGCAGGTCTGTTTGTTTCTGTACACAAGGTCATTATATCATCAGTGTTGTAACAAAACCTTGTATCTCTGAAATGGTAACTTTATAGGAGAAGAAAAAACCTTTAATGTACGTTAACAAAACCAGATTTTATTTACTGTAAATTTGGAAATTTTCACAAAATGTGAAAGACAGATGCTGTTATCAAGTTACATAAAAGGAATTTAAAAAAAACTTATGAGGTTTTGATATGACAGCGACGATATTTGTCTTACTCTTATATGACTGTCTTGTAGTGAAAAGTCTATGATTTGTTGCCTTGCTTTTTGTCAGGGAAGGTGTAAATGTGCCACTTCACGCACGCTGCAATCTCGCAACAGGTTAAGAGGCACATCCGCTCATATCCTTCTCACTCGCTATCGCTCTCTCTGACAATACATCTATCAACTACAGTATCTGCTACCACTCCTATCTCTCTCACTCATGCATGCGCGCTGTCCCTGGCAGCAGGCTGGAGCCTGAATTGGCCGGAGCTGTAGCTTTCACTCTGACTTTATGGATCTCACGGCTTAAACGTTTGACATGATTAATGACGATTGGTTGTAAAACAGGCGGGAGAAAAAAGGAGCAAAAACTGGTGAGATCATTCCTGAGAGAGAGAGAGAGAGAGAGAGAGAGAGAGAGAGAGAGTTAGAAAGCGAGAGAGAGAAAGAGAGGGAGAGAGAGAGAGAAGCTGGGCAGATAGAGAGAGAGGGAGAGAGAAAGAGAGAGAGAGAACAGTGCCAATAAAGCATTATTGAACTAGATTGGATTGAATGGGGGAGGGAGAGGGTTAGCCAGGCGGAGGGAACGGGGGGGTGCACGGGAGAGGGAGGGAGGGAGAGAGGGAGGGAGGGAGGGAGAGAGGGAGGGAGGGAAGGGCAGCAGAGAAATAAAATAAATGAACGAGACTTTCAATTTCTCCCATAAAGCCCTGTAGCCTCATTCAAGCTTCAAAAGACTGCCATTAAACATCTTTTCAGTCTCGCGGGATGGAGGAGAATCGAATGAAATAAAACAGTCCTTTATTGAACACTTTTAGAGACCACTCTATGAGATTCTCTCAAAGGCCTCAGCGGAACATGCAGCTAACCATCATACAATAACCCAGTCTAAAGTGAAGCTTTTGTGCATTTCTCACCTTTTTTCCTCTGAAAACGTAAAACACACCGGAACTGTCAGAAGGTCATATGAACTACAGGTTCTAACTACACAGCAAACACTATAATTATTAGCGTTGTAGGATCCATATGTAGTTACATAAGTCGAACAAAAAATAATGACATTTCCATATTTTGCAACTTTTTATATGATAGTAAAATTGTTACTGAAACTCTTGAAAGAGCTTCTAATTAAAGTGACTTTAAAGAAATCTCAAAGCAACTAATGCAAAAAAGTCACCACATGAATTATTCACTCTTTAAAAAGGCACCACAATGGGTTCTTTAAGCGATGCCATAGAAGAACCACTTTCGGTTCCCTAAAGAACCATGTTTGAAAAAAGTGTGATTGTGAAGAACCTTTTAAAAGTTTAGAGAACCTTCACATAATGTAAATGGTTCTGTACCAGTGTAAGGGCTCTTCTTATGGTTCTTCCTCCACCTTATGTGGTGGTTCTTTAAACTTTAAAAAGGTTTTTCACACTCACACACACAGTATCATTTACAAAAATGTTTCCCTAAAGAATTTAAAGAACTATCCATGAGGAACCAGCCATTGTTTCTTCATGGAATCAAAAGTGGTTCTTCTATGGCATCACTCCAAAGAACACTTTCTGGCAAAGTGTGATTATTATTATTATTATTATTAGTGTTTTGAGAACCAGAATGCAACTCCTCAGTAAATTGAAGCCTCAGTAAATCTGAACTGAGTGTTTAAGCATGTGCATTTTTCTTCATTACTCCTTACTCATTGCTTTGAGTAAAGCTTAAACGCTCTCTCTCTCTCTGAGGAAATATGCATGCACGTTTACGAGCAGTGAGTGCTCCGCATTCATGCATGCATACAGATGAGCTTTACACTGACAGTGTCTGATCTCGGATAGGCTAGGTTACCTAAGGCCTCC